CCCCTGGCAGCGTTTTGTGACCATGAGGCTCTCAAGAGATACATGTTGGGGAGGCCAAACGGCAATTCTAGCTGAGACGTCCCACCAAAATCGGCGCGAACGGGCTCGTGAGATCAGCCAGGGTGGCTCCCCCTTGGGGCTCCCAAATGATGCCCCTGGCAGCGTTTTGCGACCATGAGGCTCTCAAGAGATACATGTTGGGGACGCCAAACGGCAATTCTAGCTGAGGCGTCCCACCAAAATCGGCGCGAACGGGCTCGTGAGATCAGCCAGGGTGGCTCCCCCTTGGGGCTCCCAAATGATGCCCCTGGCAGCGTTTTGTGATCATGAGAGAGTGTGAGTGTGAGTGAATGTGACTGTGAGTGAGTCTGAGTGAGAGCGAGTCTCATCTTATCTTATCGAGTCCTATCTTATCTTACCTTTATTACCCTCTATATTATCTTATCTTGAAATCTCTTATCTTGTCTTAGCTTATCTTATATCATGTCTTATCTTATATGGTGATTATCAGTGGGAGGAGGGAGGCGGGAGGCGGGAGGAAGGAGGAGGAGTGGGAGGCGTCAGAGTAATAACAAGAACCCCAATCCTTAGGATATGGGGAAAAACACGGCAGAAGCACAAACTCTGGGCCCTCCGCGCTCGCTGGGGATGGGGATCGGTGAAGCGATACTCCCCCAGAGGGCCCCCTCTCCCGGAGGGCCCCTCCCGGAGGGCCCCGAGAGGTTTTTCCTTGGGGAGAGCACGGGGAGGCACTCGGGCAGCCCGGGGCGGCCCAAGATGGTGCCCAGATGCCCACAGCACGTGCCCTTGCGTCGGGCACGTCCTCCTCCTCTTCCTCCTCCTCCTCCTCCTCATCCCTCCTCCTCCCCAATCCGCCCTCCTCCCCCCCCCGCGCCCAGACGCCCACAGCACGTGCCCTTACGTCGGGCACGTGCCTCTACAGGAGGAATACTCCCTTGCACAGCTGTACTCTAGAGCTCCGACCTCTTCATTTTCGCTCGCTCGTCGTCGTTCGTTCGCTCGTCGTTCGTCCCCCCCCCTGGCCACAGAAGGAAACTCCTGGAGGAGGGAGGCGAAAGCCTCCTGTCCCTCGCTGCTCCTTGGCGCAAGAGCCAGGGCACGCGTGCCACTTGTTTCGGGGGTGGACAGACCTCCTACCCTGACGCGTCGATTAAGGAATTGGCCGTTTTCGGTTCGCGGGAGGGCGTCGCGGCCGTCGTTTTTGCGGGTCCAGGTCCGACGATTTCGGCCCTATGTCGTTTTCATTAAGGGGAGGTTTGTCCACCGCCGAGTATTCAAAAATAGTTTAAACAATACTATTGGAACCATTTCGGGCGAATGAGGCCCCTGGTGAGGAATCCGTTTTACCTCTCAAGATCGCGCTTGGGCCAAAATGGCTTGAGCCACTTCAGCTCCTTCTTTTCGCTAGCTCGCAAAGGTCTCCACTAGCTCCCACACGGGGGCCTCCTAGGCGGGCAGCTTGAACCCACCTGGCCTCTCACCGCGCCTTTAGCACTGCACACATTCACACCTAGCTGGAGCCTCAAGCGGGAACCCTGAGAGACCTCTTCAGGGCACACACACACACACACGCACATTTCCCTGTATGTTTCAACATTTGTTCGTCCAGAATCCGCCTGTAGAGGGACGCGCCCGACCTGAACAGAATCTCGAGACGCGCCCACACAGCCTAAGAAGACCCTAGTGGGCCCCGAGACGACCCCGGCAGGCCCCCCAAGAGGCCCCCAGGGTTCCCCAAGACAGCCCCAGACGGCCCCCGAGACCCCCAAGGAGGCAACCTCGAAAGTGCAAGAGGACCCCCACTTATTTTACGTCTGTTGCCTCGGGTCCCTTACCGTCCTCCGTCGTCGTCGTCGTCGTCGTCGTCGTCGTCGTATTATTTCTCCTCCGCTTTGTTCCTACTCGTGCTCGTCCTCCACCATCTGTTCCTCCTCGCCCTCGCGCTTGTTTTCCCACTCGTTGTCCTCCTGCTCCCCCCACTGCCCTTCCCGTTATTCACGCTGTCATTCTCGTCATCCGCCGCCTTGTCGTCGCCATCATCCTTTTCTTCTGTCCCCCCTACGCGCCCGACGGGCAACATCGGCGCTTCCCGTTCGTGTCCGATCAGGCTTGTCACAACGTCACCCCGAGAGGTCTCGACCCACTCCGCGGGGCCAGCTTTCCATCCCGAGCGGTTTTTTGGACGCTCCTGGGGCTTGGCGAGGGACCCATGCGGCAGACGACAGTCATCCCGCATACTAGGGATGGGCATTCTTCCCAAGGGTACCCTTGCATCCTTGCCCCTTCGGCCAATCCCCATCCACTATTTTAGTAACTGGCTGTGCCCCGCTCGAGGCGCCTCGGCATGGCCTCCAAGACCCTTTCATCATTCTCGTGCGTCCTTCTTGCACGGGTTGATTGTATTGCGGCGGCGAGCGAGGGGGGAAGTGAGAAGGAGAAGGCTTTCTCAGAAGGCTCGGAAGTCCCCCGGCCTTCCGAG